CAGGAGAGCTGTCTGTGATTATGTCAACAGTGTAGACAGAGTGGCTAATGTGGACATTAGTAAGCCATTATTACTTTCAGTCAAGCAATCTAGAAAGAAGTATGAGCTCTATCTAGAACAAGAAAGAGCTCAGAAAAAGTCAGCTCAAGATCAGGCAAAGAGAAAGTCCACCCTAGAGGAAATAGAAGAGATCAAAAAGAAAAGACGAAGGCTTGATTCAGACATTAAGACACTGAATGACACAGCAGATCAGCTCCTGCTAAAGGCAGAAGATCAAGGCAATCTAAGACACTTAACTCAGGCTAACTCTTTCAGGAGGACTGCCAAGGACAAAATGGATGAACTTGTTCAAGTGAATATTTCTCTTGATGAAAAGCTAAAGAAACTGAAAGAATAATAGAAACTGAAAGAATAATAATTATTCTTTCAGTTTCTTTGAGATGTTCAAACTAAACCTCATTATGTAAAATCTAGTTACGTCTAATAAACACTTAAGAAACTAAGAAATGTTATCACACTGATAAGCATTAAGACTAAAAAAATAGTAAGTGGGTTGTATTGAAAAATTAATTGTAAAGCTTAAAAACAGAAACATAATAAAGAATAGTTGAGTTATTTAGTCCTTGAAAATTCATATATTATCCTTGAAAAGTCCTTGAAAAGTCCTTGAATTTTTTTCTTCAAAACCTGTATGAACCRTGAATTATTTTGACGTCCTACAATATGAAGTTTAGAAACTCCTTTAAGGTCCAAGTCCGGCAAATTTCAAGATTTGTAAGGCTTCTTCAATCTTTGTCATGCTGTGGTTAACATCTGAGCCAACCATTTTATTAAAGTCTACCTTATCTAAGTCACTGAGAAAGGAATCCTCTCTGAATGATGAATAATCTCTATAGTATCTACTGGTGGTTTGAAAAGCCAATTTGCTTTTAATTGTGCAGAATACTGGTAAATGATCTGAAATGTCAGCAAGACATATTCCTGATTTCAAGACTCTTTCAGGTATATTTGTGTAGATATGGTCAATAAGAGTTGMTGAGTGGTCAGTAATTCTTGTTGGTTTAATTATAATTGGCATCAACCCTAGGTTGAAAAGCATGTCTAAATAGTCTGAGGTAAGCTCATTTGTGTTATAATTTAGAAAATTTATATTAATATTACCCAAGATAATTATTTCATTGCCTTTTTTCTGTAATTGAGAAAGTTTACTTTCAAGTGAGGCAGTGAAAGCAGCAATATCACTTGAAGGGTGCCTATAGATACTACCAATGATCATATTTTTGTCCTTATCTCTGGGGAGTTCAATCCAGCATGACTCAACATCATTGAGATTAAATTCAAGGTCAGACCTTTTTATATACTGAATATTACTACTTATATACAGGCCTGCTCCTCCTGCATTTGTTTTAGAATTATTACCCAGAAATTCATAGCCTTGAATTGATATATTATTGCAGGTATTTTCACTTAGTTTGGTCTCCGATATGGCTATTATACTCGGTGTCTGCTTAATGGAACATAGAATATCATTCAGTAAGCTTAAGTTTTTTGTAAGGCTACGGGTATTGCAATGGAATAGTGAGATACCTTTTTGATTAATATCGTTAAAATATAATCCTGTCTTTTTGACACTATAATATTTTGATTCTAAATAATTAGATAGATTGTCATTGTCAAGATTCTCTATGTTGTCAGGGCTCTCAAGGATATCTTCAAAAAGGTCTACTTTATCTTTAAGAGTTAGGTGAGCATTGTGAACCCATGCACCTGGTGCTTTCTGAAAATCTCTTCCAGATAATTCATAAAAGGGAAGAGCTTTTAACAGCATACAGTCATTCATAATTATTGAATATTAGATTTTATTATATTTAGAGAGTTTACGAATAAAACTCGTCAGACCTCTACAGGCCTGTTTCATGAGGCATATTACCTCTACAGGCCTGTTTCATGAGGAACATTAGTTATATGTAGCAGTTTATATAACAATTTAATTAAACTAAATAGCAATGTTCTTACTGAGATGATGACTTGAGGCTTGACTTGAGAATATTTTCCACACTTAAACCACATAGTATGTTTAGGGAGCTTTTCTTCTATTTGAGTGATTTGTGCTGTGATCATGGCTTCTCGGCATGTGTAGATCTTTAAATGCAGTAAACTCGTCCAAAGTCGTAAATGAGTGAGACGTGGTATTCGTGTCTTGACGAATGTAGATTTTGCCGTTCATGYTCCAGATAAATTTCCATCTCAGTTTTTTACGCAAATTGTTGATTTCTCCAAACAATTTCTTTCTTTTCTGAGTTAGAGATTCTCGACTGAAGCTCTGATGGTAGGTTTGGGAGGTCTTTCGCTGACATTCCTTGTAGCTTCTTTTTGTTGTTATATATGCTATTTTTCACACTCCTTCGAGTAAATKTTACTATAAACTTGGAGGGGCTGTCTSTCTTGAATCGTGGCAGAGGATGTGCAGTAGAAATATCAGAGTCTTCGATTGGAGGRAGGTCTAATGATTGAGCGATCGACTTCACTGCTTCAATGCATTGCTCTTCGTTGTCGGTATCCATTCCTGTCACTTCCAAACAGTCACAAAAGTGTTTTTGCTGCTATCGAAACTTTGTAAATCTAAGGCAACGGGTCTTGRCAAGGTTTTAGAATATGTTCTATTGTATTCAAACTTTCAAGTAGTAGATATATTCCTGGCACAGTCATGAAGCCTTTTATACTCAAGGATTACAAAGAATGCATTGTAAAACCATACAATCGGATATCTTTTCTTTTGAGCCCCATGGAAAGTTATGAAGGTATGAAAACTGTTTGTGAATGAATTTAGATTTTGTTTGTTATTTAATGTAAGTATATTATAGCGCAACTACTTCAACTGAGGACACTTACATAAAATGATCATTAACCAATTATATTGCAGATTTTAGCTGAAGATTCTTATTTAACTGTGAGAACACTATATAACTTGATCGGTAAATCAGTGAGTGTCTGGTACTGTTTTTGGATTGACCAGTTTTATTCAAGTGACCTCGAGTGAGTTGAAGTACGTAGTTGCACTGTAAGGGCAGGGACTGTCACCGTTCATCACAAATTCTTTTGTGATCTGCTTTCTTCATTGGGATTTTATATTCCAATTGCACCTAAGTTTTGTCCWGAAGTCTTGCAAATCACCGATGAAATAATCAAAGTAAGTGTATTTATTGCTTGATTTCATACCCGTTTGAAATCCCATAAAGTGGGATTAAAACCAAAACAATGAGTTAACATAAATTTAAACTAACATAAAAGTGATCATTGACCAGAAATTACTAGAATCTAAGGATGCTTATTGCTGAAAATTCTACATTTGGATAGTTATTTTAAAGTGATTACAATTAAACTAGGCCATTTTAATTGTGCAAACATGAATTTACATTCTTGTCTTATATATGGTATTACACATCCATTAATTATTTCATTTATSTATGTCTTCATCAGTTTCTAAATAGTATTTTAATGAGTGGGAAATTCACAAGAGATTTTGGAAAAGAACAAGTTGATGTATAACTGGATCAACTTAAAGGTAATTATTTTAATATGCAACAATCAAATTATCAAATTTTATTCAATTTGATATCATTCCAAAGATAATTATGTTATGATCAATTGGCACACAACTTTGTGTTTTTCTAGAATTCTCAAAGTTTATCAAAGAAGAAATTTCCCTTTGGACAAAAGCTTTGGAACATATAGAGAGCAGCTTCATAACATGTGAAAACTTGGAGGAAGAAGACTCTTTACCACCTCCAAAGAAGCGCTCCAGGAAATGTAACCAAGTATCTAGTATCAAAGCTTGTCAGGCAATGACAGAACTGGCTGCTTCACTACATATAGATTATTACCAGAAGGTATTTTTTGGGGGGTTTAAGTTTCCTGTAAGTTAGTTTGTTACCACTTATACTTAACTTGCTGTTTTTTTATAATAAGGTTTTTCAAGGCTGGAAAGAAATTGAGGGTGTAATGAGAGATGCAGTATATGAAGAAGATGAAATTGAAAAATTGATATTTTTGATGTAAAGGTACACTTAAATAGTTATAACATGAAAATTGTCAGATAAATTTCTAATTCCAGCAGTGTGTTTGTTATTTGATTATAAAATGATATTCCTGTGAAAAGTTAATGAATCACACCTTTCACAGATTTCAATTGTGATTTCATTTATTTTCATTTATTGATTTCAGTGCAAACTCTGGGGGTTCCTGCTTAGACATGTATTTGGTGCRAAACTTGGGTCCGGTGACTATGGACATTTGACTGTTGAACACAGTGCTATGTTATTTCGTAGGCATCGGTCATTCAAGTTTTACTCAAATCAAGGCTTTGAAGCTTCTCATAAAGTGCAAAGGGCACTTTATTCAAGGGCTTCTAGTCATGACAGGCAAAGTGTCAACCAATMAGGTAAGTGTGATACTTGTGTATAGTCATGAATATTTTTGGTGTAGTTCTTAATTATCTTTTTTAATTTACCGTACTTTGATTTGCCTGCGTTGTCATTGCAAACAGTGATAGGTTCACACATGACCAGCAAAAGCACATGGCTACATTGATTGTAGTAACAGCCCAGTAATTGATACTCTAATCACTATTTCTGTATTTGAAAATTTGAGCAAGTGTATAATTTTATTTCGTTGTTTTATTTTTTTGGAATATAGTTGATCAGATGTTTGCACATTCACTTTCCGAAATGATGCTGTCTCTGCGAATACAATTCAGACAAGCACAAATTGCAATTGATCAAGGTATGGGCAATTTTCTTGGCCCTGGATCAGAATACTCCAGTTTCAAGATCTTATTTGTGCAGCCTTAACCTCGAAAGCATGTAATATAATTATTCTTTTATTCAGCAGAGATCCTATTTTTAAATGCAAACGCTCTGTTTACAAAGTGATAATAACAATTTATGCTTGATTGAAGCTAAGCTTGCGCAAAAGAGAATTCGAAACTGGAGTATTCCAGTAATTATGTGTTRTCATGCTTAATGACATTGACCATCTTGAACTTGCAATACAGGAAAAAAGGACTTCTACTATCGAGGCTGTGGATGGAAAAAGWGAGGTGTCAAATGGTCAGAAGATGACCATTCTTGGATTAAGTCTATGAATAGTCTCTTTGATAGATTGTATGGACTAGACTACATGAAGTATGAGTACTTTGCAGATRCAGGTACAGTAGTTAAAGATGAATGTGTTCCTGCATTGTCTTATAATCATGGCTCTTGGGAAGAAAGTTGTCGCYCCGATGTCCTCCAGMACCCAAGTAAACMACACRCCACTGGTAGTCCAGGTACTGYTCAACATAGAGAGTCTAATCCAGTACAAACCTCAGSCATAGCAACTGATGAGCACTCAHGCAAACCACACTCAGCTTGTTGTCCAGGTGCCCCACAGCATGCTAAGCCCTTGAATAAACAACACCCAGCTGGTTGTCCAGGTACTCCTCAAAATGCCAACTCTAGTGTASTACAGACCTCATCAACCACTGATAATCWCTCAAGTACATCACACCCAGCAGTCCTAAGCAAAAGTAATCCAGTTCAGATTGTGTTAGATGATGACGAACCTGATCAACCCTCCAGTATGCCACAAACACCATCCTTCCAATCCTTAAACATCTCCACAGTAACACGCAGGGAGTTTTCCAACATTAATGTTCCCCCTTTGTATGTAAACAATATTTTGAAAAAGGACGTAAGGAAGTGTTTTGGGACAGTCCAGGAAACAGACCTGTCTACGTTGAAAGAGAGACCACCAGAGCGTGTAATCCAGTGGGCAGAAGAACTTTTCAAGCAGAAAAGAAAACCATCTGCAGTTTGTGTTGGAAAACTGGGTTGTTTTTCAGAAGCAGCCCTGGTCACCTTACGCAAATTCTGTGAAGTGGATAAAGTGAGAACTGAAGTTGCTTCTGAAGAAACATGGCTGGATAATTGGTCAGATGGCCTTTCAATTTCGGATATTAATTCTTTAAAGGAGGTTCTGTGGAATAAAAAGATGCACAGTACCTTGATTAAAGTAGGTCAAACATCCATAGATCTCCAATCCTTTTCAACAATTGCTGAAGAAAGGTACGTGGATAACTTTGTTATTGATTGTGTGGTAATGAAGTTCATTGAGGACCAGAGAAACCTAGGAAGGGAAAACTCAATTTACCTCCCAAGTTCAACTTTTGCTTGGTTAAACAGTGGGGATGATAACTTCATTAATGACAAGGTGTCACAAGCCATTAGTCCATACAGAAGTCCGTGTGAATCCATACTATTGCCAGGTTAAATTCAATTCATTCAAAATCTAATATTGGATTTATGACTACAGAATACTTAWGAGTTTATAATGTAATATGAACACGTAGCGAATCGACTCAACATTCGTAACAAATTGACATTTTATGTAACAAATTGACAGGTAGAGAATTGACCTTGAAATGAATTGACTGAAAATAATGGCATGCTTTCTGTAAACTTTGATAGCCTGAGACTTGTGAGTGTGGGGTGGGGGGAGTTTCTTCAGTATTTTTAGTACTTTTGAGCGGAGGGAATTTTAGAATTAGTAATTCTAGTAATAAGTAATTAATACTGGGGAGTGTCACACATTTTTGGGAAAAAATTACTCTGAAAACTCCAGCCCTTCCCTTCAGTGATAAGCATACCTTCCGTAACAGAACAGCTGCATGTATAATTACAAAATAGCCATATATATTTGCACAATAGCCCTAGTTTGCGAATAYATATATATGAGAGGGTACATCACAAAAGGGGTCTTGTGTCTAGCGTGAAAATCCAGCCCTCCCAAAGAAGCCAATTAATTCACGGTGCGCATCAAAAGGGTCTTAATTCTTTAGACACCTTTTGTGCTGTCCCTTCTCATCATTGTCCTGACTGCAATCAAAGCCATCAATAAACGGAGCTTTTTTGATCAGTAATTTAGGCTTTTATTAMCAAGCAAAAAGCAAACTTGRGGCGGTGTGTTGGTCTCTATCGTCCAGGTGCATGACGGTGAATGGGCGTTGGTGTGCGTCTGCGCAGCATCGGT